TATTCTGTAGGCTTATGACAATCAGTCTACACCATATATTACGAGCCAAAACAGGTCAGGATTATCTAAACTTATTCCATAAGTCGCAGATTTCGTTCCGTAGTTTGCTTTTTTTGCAGGAAGCCCAAGCAAACAATCCGACAAAAGGAATAAGTCAAATGATAATCGCGCGAAAATGATCAGTATTTATACACTCGCATTATCGGAGAGGCGTTCTGGCGGGTAAAGTATTTCCATATCCAATCCCCAAGACTGATTCCATAAGTCGCTGAGCGAAAGAAAAAATCGACAGAGAGGGAACTGGTACCGACTTATGGAATCAGTCTAATATAAATCAATATATAATATCATTAACAAAATAGTGTTTAGAAATTGTTTTCATCGATTCAAAGTTATTTTATAGTCTTTATGCATAAGTGTCATGATCATGACAATGATAATTAAGATCCTGACTGTAATTATTCTGTTAGCTTATAATAGAAAAAAAAATCAGAATGTTTTACATTGATCATTAGGCTGCATATTTCTTAGCTCTCTTTTAAAGCATGGAGTTACTATTAGAATGTATTATTTTCATCTATAACTTAAAAATATTCAATGGGATTTGTCTTCGAGAATTATGTCAACAAAGTATGTGTTGGTGATTTTAGGATTGTACACTATGTAATTTCGTTCTCATTAAAATTATCAAAAATACATAAATTGGGTATAAAATGTTTTGATAAATGTTCTGCCGGTTTCACTTTCAAGTATTACTATGTTGTTGAAAAAGTTTAGCGGAGTTTTTCAGTCGTTTTATTACTGCCGCATTGGCATATGAAATCAACTTGTAGATTTCAAGTTCGCAAATATGCAAACTATGAGTACTTCGCTTGAAGAAACAAAACATTTACACATCGATTTTCTTGCATACGTTTGATGACCAATCCAAGGTCTTACTCTGGACGAAATCCTGTGGGTTTTCTCCATATCGGTCATAACGAAAATTACGTGTGAAATAGGAGTACTTTTTACGTTATCAAAAGTGTGCATAATTTAAAAAATTGTCAAAAATCACTAGTTTCTTTTTAGGACTTTATTTTCAGCCAGAGAACGGTTGAGATAATGATAAACACAACGTGTAAGTATAATCACTAAAGGTCAAGTATTTTCGCTATACGCGGTCACGCAAATCACTCTTTGTAAACAACAAAAATTTGCATATTTGACCTCTCTCACAAAAAAAATCGTATCTCGCAAACGAAAAAAATATTTTTAATAAAAACACCACAGTGATTCATCAGACATAATAAGGTACCAAATATGAAAGTTTGAGCGAAATCTAATTTTTTACACTTGCCACGAATTTTTGAATTTGTTTGATGCATGCTGACATTCACTCTTAATAATAAAAAAATAAAGAATTAAAGAAAAAAAGCTTTATCATCCCCTGGGAATAGAACCCGGGACTATTGGATAAAAAAGAGAAAGACCTTGTTTTATCCAACGAGCTAGGAGCTACGATCTCAAATTGTACATATAGTGGCTAGACTGGGATTTATATCACCGGCCCTCGCCTGTGCTAATTCGGAACCGAAGTTATTATAATAAGATTTTAACGAAAAAAAACTATATTCATAAATCGTTTAATTAAAATTCATTAAAATTTAATTCATCGTACCATTCCGTATTCGTCTACACAATCAATCTTCGAGTTGTGTTGCCATTGGCGGCTTGATTCCATTTTGTTTACATCAGAAGTAGCAAGCGAAGAGGATCAAAGAGATCTGTATCAAGAGTTGAACACCATGGACAGCGTTGGTCGTCATGACAACCTAGTGAATCTGATTGGTGCTTGTACATGTAACGGTAAATATGACATTTTATTCTCTTATTCAAATGAGCACCTCGATGAATTGAGCTGGTATTATCTGGCCAATTGTACAATCGAGGACTAAACTGTTGTCGCGAATGGACATTAAAGCTACTCTTTTCTCCCATTTCTTTAACCTCCCTCCCTCCGACTCAGTGTGATCTTTAGCTGATGACATGCATCTTTTACATTGAAAACTAACAAAATTGTATTGGGGATGAGGGAAAGCAATGGCTTCAA